ATGTCGGGTACGTGCGGGGGACTCTCAAGCAGCGGGACTGGGAGATTCCAGTCCTGGTCGTCGTCGTCGGTGAAGTCGTGGCGCGGACTGAATGGGTTGTTGTTGGAGAACGCGCCAATGGGGTGCGGTGCTGGCTCAGGTGAAGGTGGGAGAGCGTACTCGACGACGGCGCGACTCGCCTGTCATGGCCATGTTGCTCATGACGTTGCGCACTGGTGCAGTCGATGACGGCTGCTGCTGCTGATGCTGAACCGCGGGGTTCAGGTTGCGCGTGGGAGGGGGCTGATAGCCCTGGGCTGGACGCACGTCGCCTCGTACGTCTTGTCGGCCGGACCAGTTGCTCGGATTGGTCTGGCGAGGGCGAGATCGGGATTTGCATCGATCTGCCAGATGCCCGAAGTTCCTGCAGATTTTGCAGTAGAGGCGCCTCGGCCGTCGCTCTTCGTTGTTGTCGGCGTAGAAGGCGAGCCGTTCTCTTTCTCGTCGTGGCGCTGGTCGCTGCTGGTCCATATCCCGTTGTTCGACGAGAAGGGCGGCGCAAAGGGCGGCCTCCGAGATGACCCCCTGCTGTCGGAGAAGCGCCTTGCAGGGCCGCCACTCTGGGCCGAGCCCTTGAAGTACGATGTTAACGAAGATTTCTTCAGATATCGTGCTTCCCAGTTTCACGATCTGATCGCGAAGGCTCCGACAGCGGTTAAGGTAAGTGTTGACCTTCTCCCCTGAGATCATCTTGGTTTCCAGGAGTTCCTGGAGCAGTCGGCTCGAGGAGACAGAGTCCTTGGGCTGATACACTCCTGTCAGATGTCGCCAGGCGTTGAGGGCTGGAGCAGCTGTCGTTTTGTACGAACGAATGTTGAGCTGCTCCGCCGGGGACATGTTCCGCAGGAGCACCCCGTACGCCATCAGTGATTCGTTGTAATACCTCGCCTTGGCGTCGTCGGTGTCCTCGGCAGGCTCGGCGTAGCTCCCGTCGAAGTAATGGAAGATTTGGGCGTTCTGCAGCAGGAGCTCCAATTCGAAGCTCCAGGTATAGAAGTCTTTGCCGTCAAAGCTGGAACTTGTCTTTATTTTTGATATGCTCAGAAACTTTGATTGAGCGGAGAGAATTGCCTCTTCACTGGGACGGGGAGCCTTGGGGGTTGAGCCATTTGTGTCGAGGGAGAAGGTTTGCGGGACGGTGTTCTGCCCAGTTGGGCCCGGTTGGGTTGGTTGCGAGGATGTTCCCGCATCGCCGTTCCGCAATGTTTGGAGCCCTTGCTCCAGACTGGTGAGTCGCTGAAGAAGTTGTGCGAGGACTTCGGTGCCGATCGTAGTCGTTTCCTCGCTTGTCGCAGCCGGATTGGTGCGCGCTTCAGCCGTCAGATTAGTCTGACCACCAGATCCTCCGGCCATTCTCACACGCGAGCGTGTGCCGGTCGCCACTTTCCGAGTGTCGCAATTTTCGGGAGTGGTGTTGCGAAGGATTCCCGAGCCGCTCTCATACCATGCTACGATCAGAGAATGATCGCTGCCAGGATCTACTCGGGAAGGTTCGCACACAGGGAAATGTAGTTGGTGGGCCCGTGACCTCAATAGCAGAGTGAATGTAAAATGCTTGAGATGACTAAAACATGCAAATACAGCAAGTATAAATATGAGTACAGGGAAGACGAAACGTCCTAGCTAGCCATGTACTCTAAGGGGTACATTCCCTTATTCAAATACATTCAACCGTGCGGCGCGTACAGTTTCGTAACTGTTCCCGCCAAGAACATCCTGCCTGCAGCTGTCCGATGCCGTCTGCCTCCGACGGTCCAGATGCGCCCCAACTGTCTGACACTTGAGTCAAACTCCAACCGTCTGACGGTTCGCTTTCTTGCTTCGATACTGCGTGCTTCTCTTTGCTGCGGTGAGGAGTGCTCAGTAACAATTAAATGTTACTATTCGTAACATTATTCATACCAGCCCAGAGAGTCTCACGAACACCTACTTGATCCCGTTTCGAATTATATCCAGGACGTACCAGTACCCTGTTTCTGCTTGTCAATATATAATATTGTTGAAGGGCTAGCTTCTTGCAATAGCGCATGCTGAGGACGCGTTACATTTGAAATATTGATTCTGTGAAGGATCGATTTGTGGGCCTTACAGTAATTCGTTGTATAAAGTATCCCTTTACCGCCGACTTTCGTTAAAATTCGGGTCACCTCACCGAGCGCAATGTGACTTCCAAATCGATCTGTCACCGCACTCAAATCAAGCGTTTCCGAAGCGTTAAAAAACCCCGTAAATAAGCGAGACCGAGGGCGATCGCGACACATGTGGCTAGAAGGAGATCGATGTTTACAGCCGCGGTGTGGGATCCCGACCCTCCAGTATTTCAATTGTGACGCGTCCTGATGTAGAGAACCATGTCACATACACGATTTTCGCAAGTCACGCGGTTGTTCGGGTGTGTGGGGCTGGGTAGGCATCAGCGAGCGGTGCGAACCCTGCTGTTGCCGCCTTTCTTCGTCGCACCTCTCGCTTGCTCCTCTTGTCTCACCATCAGCTGGGATCGCACGGAGATTTGGAAATGCACATGATGCTCAGCTGTTGCACGCAAATTTGGGCCGCCCAATTCCGACAGCCTGCCCAGCTGCATTTGGTACCAGCCAGTTGCACGCACGATACAAGCCCCTATTTTGATCGCAGCCGTTGAACAAACAGCTTATCACGCTGGCATCCGTCCGTTCGTGAGATATTTTGAAGACGCTGGTTACATTTCTTCACCTGCCCACTACAGTCCCGATTTTGCCCGTGGCGAATGTTGGCGAGTAGGCGAAATAAGTGCTGCTCACTAAACACCCAAATTACGAGTAAAGTTGTGAGTATCTAACGGGCATCTGGTGTAGCAGGTTGCCATAATTTCCCACCCCATCCCAGGTCACCACCACAGGCCATATGAATGACTCGACACAAGGAGCCTTGCTGCAGTGCTATCCTTGCTATCTTCGTGGTTTCCTGGCGGCAAAGAACGATTGAATGCGATGGAATGGGATAAATGTTTCATGAATTTCGTCTCAAGCGAGATGTGGGTGATACAGAGGGCAAGAGACACAGATGAATCATGCCTGCCCCTTCCCACACCAGACCAGCCAGCAGCAGCCTCGCTGCCCTGCCAGCTGCACACCTCAGGTGCCAGCCTTCCCTCATTTGCCTCCATGAACAGTCCCTGCGAGAACACCTTGAAACACCTCGCTATCAGATCCTCCGCTTTTCGTTCTCCCACCAACCTCACGAATACGACAAACAGCAGTGAGTAAGTGACGTGAGGAAGCGTAGATAAGCAATGCGCGGCGTCAGGCCGGTGGTGCCGTGCCGCGTCGCGATGGGGCGGCCAAAGGGAGGGGATTGGTTCAGGTGGGAGAATCGACGACGCGATCTTAGGGCGGGGGGGATTTCACGGCGAGAAATTATGGCTCTTCTGGTCTGTGGACCTCTGAAAAAAGGACAGATTTCCAGTCACCGATTTCTTGAGTCGTGTGAGGTAGGGAAGGGACGGCCTGTTCTTGAGAGAAGGGAAGTGACATACGAAGGCTCCGTCTACTCCTGGTGGGTGACCGTGGCAGGCGTCTGGATAAACCAGCCTGGATTTTCTCCTGAAATGAGCGCAGCAGATGCGACTACTTCGCTGCATGATTTCCATTCTTCGAACGGAAGTTGGCGACAGGTCGTGCTTTCGGCGGCGATTACTGCGTGAAATCCGCATTCACCAAGCTTCGTCCTTATCGTTCCGCAGCAGGAACTAGCTCGCTACTGGACCGTCATAGTAGGAGTAACCATTTCGTGGGTAGGCCGGGAGAGCCATTTCGAGCCGCACGACACCACCGATTTAGCGTAATATCCGCCAAACAGATTCACGATTCGTGACTGAGCCTGCGCCTGTGCGTCGTTCCCCACTTCCACGGTTCCACCTTTCCACGCGCGGTTGCCCCTCCCTCCGTGCTGCTGCGCCCGTTGCGCAAAGGCCAGTGATCGTTCTTCCTCCCTTCCTCCCTCTGCCGCTATTAGCTGGCAGCCGATATTAGCAACGCAGCTCTCATGGGGTCGGCACTGCAGCACCGAAGGCTACCGCCAGACGCGCCGCAGTTCCTGGCGCAGGACGCTTCGAGGCGCTTGAGAGTGAGACAACTGCTGCATGAGTCGGCTCGCGGGTCAACGGCTCGTGGGTCAACGGCCGTGAACTTGGCCTCTTTCGCCTGTCGGTCGCCGCTGGTGTTGCTGCTGGCGGTCGCCATCGTCGCCAGCTCTGTGCGACAACCTCCTGTCGCATTCGCAGCACGGCCGCTGGACACGCCTCCACGTGAGTCGCCTCTGCTACCCTTGTTGCTTCTCCTCCTTGCACCCTTCTCGCACCCCTCTCACACCCTTCTCACACTCCTCTCGCCCCTGCCGTTTTTCAAAAGCGTCGCTGAGCTGTCGCGCAATATCAACATCCTGCCCTGCTGCGATGCTTGCCATGCTGCTACGGCTCGTCCGCCCTTCACGCATGCTGCTGCTGCTGCTGCTGCTGCTGCTGCTGCAGCAATCAACTGGACCCCTCACCATTCCCCTCCAATCTGTCCGTGCCTGTGCTCGCCCCGCAAGCTCCCCTCATCCCGCGCTCCAAGTTCCCCTTTCCCTTCCCCGTTGCTAATGTCCGTTTCTCCTACCCAACCTCTTCCCCTTCCCCCTCCCCCCTCTGCCCCCCCTGTCCCCATTCCCCTATCCCACCAGGCGACCCAGCCAATGCGCCTGCACCCGCCTCCCTTCCCCCTTCCACCCCCGGCTCCGCCCCAGCACCAGGCGCTGACCCTAGCAGCAGCGCCAACAGCAGCAACACGAATAGCAGCAGCAGCGCGAGCAGCGGCGGCAGCGCGCCGTTCAACATGTCAGCGGACAGCTTTAAGAAGGGGTACGACTTCTCGTGCCTCTTTAAAGACGTCCTTAGCACCGACTGCCGGAACAAGCCTGCGAGCCCCTGGGCGGTGATGACCGCTATGATTATCTTCACTATAATCGGACTCGTTATTGGCGTGCCGCTCTGCATCTTCTACCGCAACAGCCAGGCCGCGAAGAGAAAGCTCTTCGCGTGCTGCTGTCCGCAGAGATTGGAAGAACTGGCGGAGGAGGAAGAGGCGAAGAGAAAGGCGAAAATCGCGGAGCCGAGGCCGTGGGAGCTGCAGCAGCCGGGGATGAAATTCTCTCTAAAGAGCAGCGGCAGGGGGGAGGAGGAGGAGGATTGGGAGGATAGCGACTGGGTGCGGTCGGAAGACGAGGACGAGGAGTGTGGGAGCAAGAGGGGCAGCAGCCGGGGAGCAAAGCCTCCGGTCGCGCGGGGAGGCGGAGTGCCCCGGGCTGTATCCGCTGCTTCCTCCGCCTCTGGTGGTTCCGCCAGGGAGCCTGCTGCTGGGGCGCGTGGGAATGGTGGTGGCGCTGGCAGTGGTGTGCCGCGAGTGGCGTCTGCTGGGTCCGCAGGCAGAAGGAGGGGAGGCGGAGGGATGGGAAGAGGGAGAGGAGGAATAGGGAGAGGGGGAAGGGGAGGGAGAGGGGGGAGGGGAGGGAGAGGGGGAGGGGGAGTGCCGCGGGCGATGTCAGCACAGGGGGGAGTGGCGCGGTCAGTCTCTGTGGAGGCGGCAGCAACAGGGAGAGGGGCTATGGGCGGGCAAGGTGTGCCCAGAGCAGTGTCTGCAGAAGCAGCCATGCACACAGGAGGGGACAGTCTGAGAATGCTGCCAGGGGCGGTAGGGGTGGGAGGAGCAGGAGGAGCAGGTGGTACTGGGGTGGGTGGGGCTGGGGTGGGCGGTTTTGGTGCAGGAGGCGCAGCAGTGAGAGCGGATGGGCTGACTCGGGCCGGTCCCAGAAGCACCGTGCGTTTCATGAGCAGTGATGGGCGAGGCGAGGGGGAGCACTATGGCAGGAGACGGGATGAGAATGAGGAGGAGGAGGAGGAGGAGGAGGATATGGGCAGGGGTGTGGAGTATGAATATGATGACATTGACATGGACTCGCCTGGGGGGCATGGTGGTGCGTATGCATCATACAACCATGGCAGGAGCAGCAGCGCTGCTGCCATTCGCCAACCCCCCCGCCACATGCCGGCACCCACACGCGACTATGATGACGAGGATTCCGACCCGGATGACGTGGAGGAGTACACTCCTGTGAGGGGGGCACGTCAGCAGGGGATGTCCGGGCGGTATGAGTATGAGTATGACTCGGGACCAGGGAGTGGGAGAGGGTTGGGAAGCGGAAGGAGGGCAGGGAGTGGGAGGGAAGCAGGACGGTTTGATGGGAGGGAGGAGGCACGCAGACCACTGCACTCGGCACGGGGTGATGAGAGATACGAGTCGGACGAGTCAGAAGACCTATATGATGATTGATGTTCAGTGTAGTGTAGCTCTCCTTGTTAACTCTAATGGTGGTTTGTAAATACATCTATTTATGTTGGTGCTTATTTGCAGGTGTACACAAGTACCGTTCAACCATGTTCGTTTATCACTATTTTGGGTGTAGATCAGGGCCCAATAATGCTACTCTTTAGAACACCCCGCAATATTAGAGTTTCATGAGAAAAATACCCTAAGATAATCCTTAATGTACCGGGCATAGGACCCAGGAAACTTTCTACTAGTAACAGTGTACTTTTTCAAATATACACCCCTCCACATATTTTTCCCCATGGGGTGCATGTTCTGTAAAGGGGCATTGACCTGCACTCCAATCTACCATATATACATAGCCATGGCCCATGGCTAACCTCAAGACGTGTCCCAATCTCGATCAGCAGCAACAGAGTACACTACATGCATTACTATCGCACATACACTTCTGACTCAGCTGCACTATTCCACTCTATCCCTGAGCTTTGCAGTGTACTGCTAGGCATAATCTCCTCAAAGCTCTCAGTGTCTCTCCTACTTGCACCGCCACCCCCTGCAAAGTACTGCACCCACCTCCTCATACTCTCACTCTCCATTATCCGAAGGCTGTTTCCCAGATGCCCACTATTGCTCCTGCCACTCCCACTCCTCCCCGCCTCCCCTCCCTGCGCACCCCCCTTTCCGCCAAGTGCCTTTGCCCCAGCCGTAATTCCTCTCGATACATGCGCTGCCAGCGCAGCAGCCCCACCTATCACCCCTGCTCCTCCTCCTCCTCCTCCGCCTCCTCCTGCTCCCTCCCCTCCTCCCTGTCTGCCTCCCTGCACCCCTGGCCCACCACCAGCACCACCACCAGCGGCGACGAGTGCAGCGGCGCCGGCAGCAGCAGCGGAAGCAGCGGCATGGAAGCCCCTGCGGGCGTCCAGCATGACGCGCGCCACCTCAGCCATGTCCGGGCGGCGTGTGGACGGCAGCTGCACGCAGAGGGCGGCGGTGCGTGCCATCTGCAGCAGAAAGGGCAGGTTGAGCGGCGAGGCGATGCGCGCGTCCGCTATCACCCGGATCTCCCCACTCTCTATGTATGGCACCGCCTGGTGGGGGGGAGGGGGGGGCGAAAGGGGGGAGGTGAGGGGCGAAACGAGATGGTGGATGAATCAATTCTCCCCGCTCTCTATGTATGACACCGCCTGGTGGGGGGGGAGAGGTTGGCACAAATAGACGAGAGGCTAGGAGAGGCGATGCGAGCATCTGCTATCACCTGGATCTCCCCGCTCTCTATGTATGGCACTGCTTGGTATTAGGGAGGAGGGGAGGTGATGGGGGAAACGAGATGGTGGATGATTCAAATCTCCCCGCTCTCTATGTATGGCACCGCCTGGTGAGGGGGGGGGGAGAGGGGTGGGGTGAGAAGGGGAGAGGACGGCACAATAGGTGAGGAGACAAAAAGACAAGGTCAAACGCACATCCGCTATCCCTGATCCTCCCACTCTCTATGTACGGCGCTGCCTGGAGGGAGGAGGGAGTGGAGGGGGGATAACAAGATGGCAGATGATTCAAATCTTCCGCCCTTGATGTGCGGCACCGCCCTGGGTTACATGAGGCACTGCCTGGGGGACGGGGGGGAAGGAAGCGGGGGGAATGGATAAGGAGGGGAAGGGGGGGAGTGGCACAATAGATGAGGTGACATGGAGGTGACATGGAGGTGACATGGAGGTGAGGCGAGGTGATGCTTGCTCGAAGCATGGCACTGCCAGGTGGAGGGGATGGGGAGGGAGAGGGGGAGACGGAAGAGAATAGGGTGGAAAAGAGGAGCGGAAGGGGAGAAAAAATAAAATGCAGGTGCTAAGAATAGAATGGAAGGCATTGAAACACAAAGGAATCAACAAGAGGAGAGGGGGAGAAGAGAGAAGAAGGTGAGGAGACATCAAGGAGAGGTGATGCATGGTGAAAGCACGGTGGAGAGAGAGGAAACAATGAAGGAGCCGTGTTGGGAAATGAGAAAACTGCGGCTGTGACTCGTGACAAGCCAAGTAAGGCCTGACCACCTACTAGGAGCAGTAGCATTCAATCCAGGCTGAAAGGTTCTACGGTACCTCAAGAGGATGGAAGGAAAGCTCACCCATGTGGTGATGTGGATGGAAGGCAAGCTCACCCACGTGGTGATGTGGATGGAAGGCAAGCTCACCCACGTGGTGATGTGGATGGAAGGCAAGCTCACCCACGTGGTGATGTGGATGGAAGGCAAGCTCACCCACGTGGTGATGTGGATGGAAGGCAAGCTCACCCACGTGGTGATGTGGATGGAAGGCAAGCTCACCCACGTGGTGATGTGGATGGAAGGCAAGCTCACCCACGTGGTGATGTGGATGGAAGGCAAGCTCACCCACGTGGTGATGTGGATGGAAGGCAAGCTCACCCACGTGGTGATGTGGATGGAAGGCAAGCTCACCCACGTGGTGATGTGGATGGAAGGCAAGCTCACCCACGTGGTGATGTGGATGGAAGGCAAGCTCACCCACGTGGTGATGTGGATGGAAGGCAAGCTCACCCACGTGGTGATGTGGATGGAAGGCAAGCTCACCCACGTGGTGATGTGGATGGAAGGCAAGCTCACCCACGTGGTGATGTGGATGGAAGGCAAGCTCACCCACGTGGTGATGTGGATGGAAGGCAAGCTCACCCACGTGGTGATGTGGCTGAGGCAAGACTCATCCTCTGGGTCCCTATGTCTGCAACAATCTACTTTCAAGGTGTCTTAACAAACAGGTGTTCTATTGGTAGGCTCACCCAGGTGGTGATGTGGATGGAAGGCAAGCTCACCCACGTGGTGATGTGGATGGAAGGCAAGCTCACCCACGTGGTGATGTGGATGGAAGGCAAGCTCACCCACGTGGTGATGTGGATGGAAGGCAAGCTCACCCACGTGGTGATGTGGATGGAAGGCAAGCTCACCCACGTGGTGATGTGGATGGAAGGCAAGCTCACCCACGTGGTGATGTGGATGGAAGGCAAGCTCACCCACGTGGTGATGTGGATGGAAGGCAAGCTCACCCACGTGGTGATGTGGATGGAAGGCAAGCTCACCCACGTGGTGATGTGGATGGAAGGCAAGCTCACCCACGTGGTGATGTGGATGGAAGGCAAGCTCACCCACGTGGTGATGTGGATGGAAGGCAAGCTCACCCACGTGGTGATGTGGATGGAAGGCAAGCTCACCCACGTGGTGATGTGGATGGAAGGCAAGCTCACCCACGTGGTGATGTGGATGGAAGGCAAGCTCACCCACGTGGTGATGTGGATGGAAGGCAAGCTCACCCACGTGGTGATGTGGATGGAAGGCAAGCTCACCCACGTGGTGATGTGGATGGAAGGCAAGCTCACCCACGTGGTGATGTGGATGGAAGGCAAGCTCACCCACGTGGTGATGTGGATGGAAGGCAAGCTCACCCACGTGGTGATGTGGATGGAAGGCAAGCTCACCCACGTGGTGATGTGGATGGAAGGCAAGCTCACCCACGTGGTGATGTGGATGGAAGGCAAGCTCACCCACGTGGTGATGTGGATGGAAGGCAAGCTCACCCACGTGGTGATGTGGATGGAAGGCAAGCTCACCCACGTGGTGATGTGGATGGAAGGCAAGCTCACCCACGTGGTGATGTGGATGGAAGGCAAGCTCACCCACGTGGTGATGTGGATGGAAGGCAAGCTCACCCACGTGGTGATGTGGATGGAAGGCAAGCTCACCCACGTGGTGATGTGGATGGAAGGCAAGCTCACCCACGTGGTGATGTGGATGGAAGGCAAGCTCACCCACGTGGTGATGTGGATGGAAGGCAAGCTCACCCACGTGGTGATGTGGATGGAAGGCAAGCTCACCCACGTGGTGATGTGGATGGAAGGCAAGCTCACCCACGTGGTGATGTGGCTGAGGCAAGACTCATCCTCTGGGTCCCTATGTCTGCAACAATCTACTTTCAAGGTGTCTTAACAAACAGGTGTTCTATTGGTAGGCTCACCCAGGTGGTGATGTGGATGGAAGGCAAGCTCACCCACGTGGTGATGTGGATGGAAGGCAAGCTCACCCACGTGGTGATGTGGATGGAAGGCAAGCTCACCCACGTGGTGATGTGGATGGAAGGCAAGCTCACCCACGTGGTGATGTGGATGGAAGGCAAGCTCACCCACGTGGTGATGTGGATGGAAGGCAAGCTCACCCACGTGGTGATGTGGATGGAAGGCAAGCTCACCCACGTGGTGATGTGGATGGAAGGCAAGCTCACCCACGTGGTGATGTGGATGGAAGGCAAGCTCACCCACGTGGTGATGTGGATGGAAGGCAAGCTCACCCACGTGGTGATGTGGATGGAAGGCAAGCTCACCCACGTGGTGATGTGGATGGAAGGCAAGCTCACCCACGTGGTGATGTGGATGGAAGGCAAGCTCACCCACGTGGTGATGTGGATGGAAGGCAAGCTCACCCACGTGGTGATGTGGATGGAAGGCAAGCTCACCCACGTGGTGATGTGGATGGAAGGCAAGCTCACCCACGTGGTGATGTGGATGGAAGGCAAGCTCACCCACGTGGTGATGTGGATGGAAGGCAAGCTCACCCACGTGGTGATGTGGATGGAAGGCAAGCTCACCCACGTGGTGATGTGGATGGAAGGCAAGCTCACCCACGTGGTGATGTGGATGGAAGGCAAGCTCACCCACGTGGTGATGTGGATGGAAGGCAAGCTCACCCACGTGGTGATGTGGATGGAAGACAGGCTCACCCACGTGGTGATGTGGATGGAAGGCAAGCTCACCCACGTGGTGATGTGGATGGAAGGCAAGCTCACCCACGTGGTGATGTGGATGGAAGGCAAGCTCACCCACGTGGTGATGTGGATGGAAGGCAAGCTCACCCACGTGGTGATGTGGATGGAAGGCAAGCTCACCCACGTGGTGATGTGGATGGAAGGCAAGCTCACCCACGTGGTGATGTGGATGGAAGGCAAGCTCACCCACGTGGTGATGTGGATGGAAGGCAAGCTCACCCACGTGGTGATGTGGATGGAAGGCAAGCTCACCCACGTGGTGATGTGGATGGAAGGCAAGCTCACCCACGTGGTGATGTGGATGGAAGGCAAGCTCACCCACGTGGTGATGTGGATGGAAGGCAAGCTCACCCACGTGGTGATGTGGATGGAAGGCAAGCTCACCCACGTGGTGATGTGGATGGAAGGCAAGCTCACCCACGTGGTGATGTGGATGGAAGGCAAGCTCACCCACGTGGTGATGTGGATGGAAGGCAAGCTCACCCACGTGGTGATGTGGATGGAAGGCAAGCTCACCCACGTGGTGATGTGGATGGAAGGCAAGCTCACCCACGTGGTGATGTGGCTGAGGCAAGACTCATCCTCTGGGTCCCTATGTCTGCAACAATCTACTTTCAAGGTGTCTTAACAAACAGGTGTTCTATTGGTAGGCTCACCCAGGTGGTGATGTGGATGGAAGGCAAGCTCACCCACGTGGTGATGTGGATGGAAGGCAAGCTCACCCACGTGGTGATGTGGATGGAAGGCAAGCTCACCCACGTGGTGATGTGGATGGAAGGCAAGCTCACCCACGTGGTGATGTGGATGGAAGGCAAGCTCACCCACGTGGTGATGTGGATGGAAGGCAAGCTCACCCACGTGGTGATGTGGATGGAAGGCAAGCTCACCCACGTGGTGATGTGGATGGAAGGCAAGCTCACCCACGTGGTGATGTGGATGGAAGGCAAGCTCACCCACGTGGTGATGTGGATGGAAGGCAAGCTCACCCACGTGGTGATGTGGATGGAAGGCAAGCTCACCCACGTGGTGATGTGGATGGAAGGCAAGCTCACCCACGTGGTGATGTGGATGGAAGGCAAGCTCACCCACGTGGTGATGTGGCTGAGGCAAGACTCATCCTCTGGGTCCCTATGTCTGCAACAATCTACTTTCAAGGTGTCTTAACAAACAGGTGTTCTATTGGTAGGCTCACCCAGGTGGTGATGTGGATGGAAGGCAAGCTCACCCACGTGGTGATGTGGATGGAAGGCAAGCTCACCCACGTGGTGATGTGGATGGAAGGCAAGCTCACCCACGTGGTGATGTGGATGGAAGGCAAGCTCACCCACGTGGTGATGTGGATGGAAGGCAAGCTCACCCACGTGGTGATGTGGATGGAAGGCAAGCTCACCCACGTGGTGATGTGGATGGAAGGCAAGCTCACCCACGTGGTGATGTGGATGGAAGGCAAGCTCACCCACGTGGTGATGTGGATGGAAGGCAAGCTCACCCACGTGGTGATGTGGATGGAAGGCAAGCTCACCCACGTGGTGATGTGGATGGAAGGCAAGCTCACCCACGTGGTGATGTGGATGGAAGGCAAGCTCACCCACGTGGTGATGTGGATGGAAGGCAAGCTCACCCACATGGTGTTGTGGATGGAAGGCAAGCTCACCCACGTGGTGATGTGGATGGAAGGCAAGCTCACCCACGTGGTGATGTGGATGGAAGGCAAGCTCACCCACGTGGTGATGTGGATGGAAGGCAAGCTCACCCACGTGGTGATGTGGATGGAAGGCAAGCTCACCCACGTGGTGATGTGGATGGAAGGCAAGCTCACCCACGTGGTGATGTGGATGGAAGGCAAGCTCACCCACGTGGTGATGTGGATGGAAGGCAAGCTCACCCACGTGGTGATGTGGATGGAAGGCAAGCTCACCCACGTGGTGATGTGGATGGAAGGCAAGCTCACCCACGTGGTGATGTGGATGGAAGGCAAGCTCACCCACGTGGTGATGTGGATGGAAGGCAAGCTCACCCACGTGGTGATGTGGATGGAAGGCAAGCTCACCCACGTGGTGATGTGGATGGAAGACAGGCTCACCCACGTGGTGATGTGGATGGAAGGCAAGCTCACCCACGTGGTGATGTGGATGGAAGGCAAGCTCACCCACGTGGTGATGTGGATGGAAGGCAAGCTCACCCACGTGGTGATGTGGATGGAAGGCAAGCTCACCCACGTGGTGATGTGGATGGAAGGCAAGCTCACCCACGTGGTGATGTGGATGGAAGGCAAGCTCACCCACGTGGTGATGTGGATGGAAGGCAAGCTCACCCACGTGGTGATGTGGATGGAAGGCAAGCTCACCCACGTGGTGATGTGGATGGAAGGCAAGCTCACCCACGTGGTGATGTGGATGGAAGGCAAGCTCACCCACGTGGTGATGTGGATGGAAGGCAAGCTCACCCACGTGGTGATGTGGATGGAAGGCAAGCTCACCCACGTGGTGATGTGGATGGAAGGCAAGCTCACCCACGTGGTGATGTGGATGGAAGGCAAGCTCACCCACGTGGTGATGTGGATGGAAGGCAAGCTCACCCACGTGGTGATGTGGATGGAAGGCAAGCTCACCCACGTGGTGATGTGGATGGAAGGCAAGCTCACCCACGTGGTGATGTGGATGGAAGGCAAGCTCACCCACGTGGTGATGTGGATGGAAGGCAAGCTCACCCACGTGGTGATGTGGATGGAAGGCAAGCTCACCCACGTGGTGATGTGGATGGAAGGCAAGCTCACCCACGTGGTGATGTGGATGGAAGGCAAGCTCACCCACGTGGTGATGTGGCTGAGGCAAGACTCATCCTCTGGGTCCCTATGTCTGCAACAATCTACTTTCAAGGTGTCTTAACAAACAGGTGTTCTATTGGTAGGCTCACCCAGGTGGTGATGTGGATGGAAGGCAAGCTCACCCACGTGGTGATGTGGATGGAAGGCAAGCTCACCCACGTGGTGATGTGGATGGAAGGCAAGCTCACCCACGTGGTGATGTGGATGGAAGGCAAGCTCACCCACGTGGTGATGTGGATGGAAGGCAAGCTCACCCACGTGGTGATGTGGATGGAAGGCAAGCTCACCCACGTGGTGATGTGGATGGAAGGCAAGCTCACCCACGTGGTGATGTGGATGGAAGGCAAGCTCACCCACGTGGTGATGTGGATGGAAGGCAAGCTCACCCACGTGGTGATGTGGATGGAAGGCAAGCTCACCCACGTGGTGATGTGGATGGAAGGCAAGCTCACCCACGTGGTGATGTGGATGGAAGGCAAGCTCACCCACGTGGTGATGTGGATGGAAGGCAAGCTCACCCACGTGGTGATGTGGATGGAAGGCAAGCTCACCCACGTGGTGATGTGGATGGAAGGCAAGCTCACCCACGTGGTGATGTGGATGGAAGGCAAGCTCACCCACGTGGTGATGTGGCTGAGGCAAGACTCATCCTCTGGGTCCCTATGTCTGCAACAATCTACTTTCAAGGTGTCTTAACAAACAGGTGTTCTATTGGTAGGCTCACCCAGGTGGTGATGTGGATGGAAGGCAAGCTCACCCACGTGGTGATGTGGATGGAAGGCAAGCTCACCCACGTGGTGATGTGGATGGAAGGCAAGCTCACCCACGTGGTGATGTGGATGGAAGGCAAGCTCACCCACGTGGTGATGTGGATGGAAGGCAAGCTCACCCACGTGGTGATGTGGATGGAAGGCAAGCTCACCCACGTGGTGATGTGGATGGAAGGCAAGCTCACCCACGTGGTGATGTGGATGGAAGGCAAGCTCACCCACGTGGTGATGTGGATGGAAGGCAAGCTCACCCACGTGGTGATGTGGATGGAAGGCAAGCTCACCCACGTGGTGATGTGGATGGAAGGCAAGCTCACCCACGTGGTGATGTGGATGGAAGGCAAGCTCACCCACGTGGTGATGTGGCTGAGGCAAGACTCATCCTCTGGGTCCCTATGTCTGCAACAATCTACTTTCAAGGTGTCTTAACAAACAGGTGTTCTATTGGTAGGCTCACCCAGGTGGTGATGTGGATGGAAGGCAAGCTCACCCACGTGGTGATGTGGATGGAAGGCAAGCTCACCCACGTGGTGATGTGGATGGAAGGCAAGCTCACCCACGTGGTGATGTGGATGGAAGGCAAGCTCACCCACGTGGTGATGTGGATGGAAGGCAAGCTCACCCACGTGGTGATGTGGATGGAAGGCAAGCTCACCCACGTGGTGATGTGGATGGAAGGCAAGCTCACCCACGTGGTGATGTGGATGGAAGGCAAGCTCACCCACGTGGTGATGTGGATGGAAGGCAAGCTCACCCACGTGGTGATGTGGATGGAAGGCAAGCTCACCCACGTGGTGATGTGGATGGAAGGCAAGCTCACCCACGTGGTGATGTGGATGGAAGGCAAGCTCACCCACGTGGTGATGTGGATGGAAGGCAAGCTCACCCACGTGGTGATGTGGATGGAAGGCAAGCTCACCCACGTGGTGATGTGGATGGAAGGCAAGCTCACCCACGTGGTGATGTGGATGGAAGGCAAGCTCACCCACGTGGTGATGTGGATGGAAGGCAAGCTCACCCACGTGGTGATGTGGATGGAAGGCAAGCTCACCCACGTGGTGATGTGGATGGAAGGCAAGCTCACCCACGTGGTGATGTGGATGGAAGGCAAGCTCACCCACGTGGTGATGTGGATGGAAGGCAAGCTCACCCACGTGGTGATGTGGATGGAAGGCAAGCTCACCCACGTGGTGATGTGGATGGAAGGCAAGCTCACCCACGTGGTGATGTGGATGGAAGGCAAGCTCACCCACGTGGTGATGTGGATGGAAGGCAAGCTCACCCACGTGGTGATGTGGATGGAAGGCAAGCTCACCCACGTGGTGATGTGGATGGAAGGCAAGCTCACCCACGTGGTGATGTGGATGGAAGGCAAGCTCACCCACGTGGTGATGTGGATGGAAGGCAAGCTCACCCACGTGGTGATGTGGATGGAAGGCAAGCTCACCCACGTGGTGATGTGGATGGAAGGCAAGCTCACCCACGTGGTGATGTGGATGGAAGGCAAGCTCACCCACGTGGTGATGTGGATGGAAGGCAAGCTCACCCACGTGGTGATGTGGATGGAAGGCAAGCTCACCCACGTGGTGATGTGGATGGAAGGCAAGCTCACCCACGTGGTGATGTGGATGGAAGGCAAGCTCACCCACGTGGTGATGTGGATGGAAGGCAAGCTCACCCACGTGGTGATGTGGATGGAAGGCAAGCTCACCCACGTGGTGATGTGGATGGAAGGCAAGCTCACCCACGTGGTGATGTGGATGGAAGGCAAGCTCACCCACGTGGTGATGTGGATGGAAGGCAAGCTCACCCACGTGGTGATGTGGATGGAAGGCAAGCTCACCCACGTGGTGATGTGGATGGAAGGCAAGCTCACCCACGTGGTGATGTGGATGGAAGGCAAGCTCACCCACGTGGTGATGTGGATGGAAGGCAAGCTCACCCACGTGGTGATGTGGATGGAAGGCAAGCTCACCCACGTGGTGATGTGGATGGAAGGCAAGCTCACCCACGTGGTGATGTGGATGGAAGGCAAGCTCACCCACGTGGTGATGTGGATGGAAGGCAAGCTCACCCACGTGGTGATGTGGATGGAAGGCAAGCTCACCCACGTGGTGATGTGGATGGAAGGCAAGCTCACCCACGTGGTGATGTGGATGGAAGGCAAGCTCACCCACGTGGTGATGTGGATGGAAGGCAAGCTCACCCACGTGGTGATGTGGATGGAAGGCAAGCTCACCCACGTGGTGATGTGGATGGAAGGCAAGCTCACCCACGTGGTGATGTGGATGGAAGGCAAGCTCACCCACGTGGTGATGTGGATGGAAGGCAAGCTCACCCACGTGGTGATGTGGATGGAAGGCAAGCTCACCCACGTGGTGATGTGGATGGAAGGCAAGCTCACCCACGTGGTGATGTGGATGGAAGGCAAGCTCACCCACGTGGTGATGTGGATGGAAGGCAAGCTCACCCACGTGGTGATGTGGATGGAAGGCAAGCTCACCCACGTGGTGATGTGGATGGAAGGCAAGCTCACCCACGTGGTGATGTGGATGGAAGGCAAGCTCACCCACGTGGTGATGTGGATGGAAGGCAAGCTCACCCACGTGGTGATGTGGATGGAAGGCAAGCTCACCCACGTGGTGATGTGGATGGAAGGCAAGCTCACCCACGTGGTGATGTGGATGGAAGGCAAGCTCACGGTGATGTGGATGGAAGGCAGGCTCACCCACGTGGTGATGTGGATGGAAGGCAAGCTCACCCACGTGGTGATGTGGATGGAAGGCAAGCTCACCCACGTGGTGATGTGGATGGAAGGCAAGCTCACCCACGTGGTGATGTGGATGGAAGGCAAGCTCACCCACGTGGTGATGTGGATGGAAGGCAAGCTCACCCACGTGGTGATGTGGATGGAAGGCAAGCTCACCCACGTGGTGATGTGGATGGAAGGCAAGCTCACCCACGTGGTGATGTGGATGGAAGGCAAGCTCACCCACGTGGTGATGTGGATGGAAGGCAAGCTCACCCACGTGGTGATGTGGATGGAAGGCAAGCTCACCCACGTGGTGATGTGGATGGAAGGCAAGCTCACCCACGTGGTGATGTGGCTGAGGCAAGACTCATCCTCTGGGTCCCTATGTCTGCAACAATCTACTTTCAAGGTGTCTTAACAAACAGGTGTTCTATTGGTAGGCTCACCCAGGTGGTGATGTGGATGGAAGGCAAGCTCACCCACGTGGTGATGTGGATGGAAGGCAAGCTCACCCACGTGGTGATGTGGATGGAAGGCAAGCTCACCCACGTGGTGATGTGGATGGAAGGCAAGCTCACCCACGTGGTGATGTGGATGGAAGGCAAGCTCACCCACGTGGTGATGTGGATGGAAGGCAAGCTCACCCACGTGGTGATGTGGATGGAAGGCAAGCTCACCCACGTGGTGATGTGGATGGAAGGCAAGCTCACCCACGTGGTGATGTGGATGGAAGGCAAGCTCACCCACGTGGTGATGTGGATGGAAGGCAAGCTCACCCACGTGGTGATGTGGATGGAAGGCAAGCTCACCCACGTGGTGATGTGGATGGAAGGCAAGCTCACCCACGTGGTGATGTGGATGGAAGGCAAGCTCACCCACGTGGTGATGTGGATGGAAGGCAAGCTCACCCACGTGGTGATGTGGATGGAAGGCAAGCTCACCCACGTGGTGATGTGGATGGAAGGCAAGCTCACCCACGTGGTGATGTGGATGGAAGGCAAGCTCACCCACGTGGTGATGTGGATGGAAGGCAAGCTCACCCACGTGGTGATGTGGCTGAGGCAAGACTCATCCTCTGGGTCCCTATGTCTGCAACAATCTACTTTCAAGGTGTCTTAACAAACAGGTGTTCTATTGGTAGGCTCACCCAGGTGGTGATGTGGATGAGGCAAGACTCATCCTCCGGATCCTTGGCCGTTGCTGCCCGCCCCGTCACCATCTCGAGCAGCAGCACTCCGTAGCTGGTGGGCGGCTCACAAGGGATGCAAGGGAGCACGGTGGGGATGAGAGGCAGGGAACGAAGAAATGAGAGGCAGGGCACGAGGGGATGAGAGGCAGGGCACGAGGGGATGAGAGGCAGGGCACGAGGGGATGAGAGGCAGGGCACGAGGGGATGAGAGGCAGGGCACGAGGGGATGAGAGGCAGGGCACGAGGGGATGAAGACACCAAACAAAGGGGATGTGGGACACACAATGAGGGGAGAGACAATTAGCAAGAGTGAGCCATGGGAATGAGAGGGAGAACACCAGTAGTGGGAACACAGCAGGCAAGTTGGACATGTCCCCCAGTTGTGTGCAACTTGAGTGTATGCACATCCAAAAACATGTGTGCACATCCAAAAACATGTGTGCACATCCAAAAACATGTCTCCGTATCATCATCATCATAGAGTGAGCACCCACACCGCACACACTGCACACACCGCACACACTGCACACACACACACACACACCCATCCACAGCAGACACACAAGCACCTGCACACAGTGCACTCACACATACCAGCACACGTAGCACTCTCACTCAGACAGACCTGTTGATATCTACACACACGCTCACCCACACATACAGCTGCAAAGGGACCCAACCATATCCACGTGCCTGCACACACACCCACTCATACACGCATCTGCACACACACACACTCACTCACCACACACCCACTCACACACCACACACCCACTCACTCACCCCCGTACAAACACTCAATCGCACAGACACACATCGGTTCAAACTCCCACTCACACCCCCCCCTCCCCCCTGTGCACACTGCGCTCATACACACCCCACTCACACCCACCCACCTGTACACATCGCTCGCTGTAGAGACCTTCTCGCATGTCATGTACTCGGGGTCCAGATACCCCCTCGTGCCCGCCACACGCGTGTACGCGCCCTCCCTGGCGGCCCCGTCATCCAGCAGCCTCAACAGCCCAAAGTCGGCAATCTTCACCTGCAAGATGGCAAGGCAGGTTTGTGCGGCACACAGTGTGTGTGTGAATACGTGTGAGACATTCTATGAAGGTGTGCCTGTGTGTGCCCGCCACACGCGTGTACGCGCCCTCCCTGGCGGCTCCATCATCCAGCAGCCTCAGCAGCCCAAAGTCGGCAATCTTCACCTGCAAGGGTATGGGAAGTACAACCATGGGGGCGGGTTTGTGTGCCCGTGAGAGCCTGCCTTCTTCTCAGCAGCCCAAAGTCGGCTACAAACATCTTTTGAGGCGCCTCAAAAGATACAACTGAAAAGTACAACATCCTAATGAGGGACTCAGCTAGGCAGAGACCTCAAAATTCGAGGTTTAGCACAGGTTGGGCAGAGGTCGGAGTTAATCCGGGAGTTGGGGTTGTACCTGGTATAGCGTAAACCTAGTAAGGAATAAAACTACAATCATTACATGCTGCTAGAAGCTTTAAGTGCAGCAAGTAATCACATTCTATAACATGTTGCCTTGTCATATGTTGAGGTTGCCTTCCACCCACCTGGTAGTCCTCTGTGAGCAGCACGTTGCAGGGCTTGATGTCACGATGCACGATGGGCTTCTCTGCATGGCAGTGCAGGTACCTAAGCCCCTCCGCCAATCCCAATGCCGCATCTAGTCGCTCCTCAAAGGTCAACAAGTGCCCTTGGAACTGCGCGTACAAATGGTCGCTCAGTGGGCCGTTGCGTACGTACTCGTATACCAACACCTGCCAAGAGGGAAGGGGGGAGGGGAGAGGGGTGGGGGGGGGAGAGGGGTGTGAGTGCGTGCATCAGGCGCCCTTGGAACTTGGCGTACAGGTGGTCGCTCAGGGGACCGTTGCGCACATACTCGTATGCCAACACATGGTTGGTTGAAGGGGGGAAGGGCGGGGGAGGGGGGTTGGTGGGGGTTGAAATGGGACGACTTAGGATGGCGACAGTTGCGCACATACTCGTACACAACACCTAGAATGGGGGGAGAGGAGGGGAGGGGGTGATATAATAGGGGTGATCCAGGAAGTCGATACAAACTTGTATACCAGCACCTGGGGGTGGGGGGGGGGATGAATGCATGTTTGAATTATTTCCGCCTCTCAGTACAAATTCGTACACCGTGGTGGGGAGGGGGGTTGTGGGTTTCATGTGAAGTTGAACTACTTGTCGCCTGTCAACCAAAACTCGTACATCACCGGGCCAGGGTAAAACGTGACAAGGGAGTCAATAAGTGCTCAATGTGCTTGCAGTGCATTGACAGCTTGGTCGTGTTAATCGAAGGAGAAGCAGCCAAGTGATGCTCACTGCGCACGCAGCCGTGACGGCATGGGCTTGTCCAAGTGCCTGATAGGCTCAACGGGCTGGTGTGGTTCATGCATGATTGTTTTTGAGTCGACTCAAAAACAGGCTCAACGGGCTAGTGTGGTTCATGCATGATTGTTTTGAGTCGACTCAAAAACAGGCTCAACGGGCTAGTGTGGTTCATGCATGATTGTTTTTGATTCGACTCAAAAACAGGCTCAACGGGCTGGTGTGGTTCATGCATGATTGGATCAGCTGCGGCCTCTCACTTCGTGTCTTTCAATTGATTGTCAAGGATGGAAAGTGGCAAAGAAAATAGACGTGGAGTAAAATGTGGATATTAGACAAGAGATTAGGCAGAAAGGCTGCGCCACATGGTAATTGTGGAGAGATGAGCACAGCATGTGCAACGAGATGAAGACGGTAATTGTTGGCACAGCTAGGCGCACACACCTGTTCGTTGTTCTCATTGCAGTAGCCGAGGAGACGCACGAGGTTCTTGTGGCTCAACTTAGACACTGCCTTCACCTGCCAGGCATGGTGGCATGGAGGCATGAGGGTATGGTGTCGCAGGACATTTAGGTACGAAGACCCAGCCGTTGCGATATGCATCAAATGACACTCAGCAGACTTGACAAGGCAAGCAAGCTCGAGTACACCCAACTCGAGTCGAGTCTGATAGAAACGAAGCTCAACTGATTGATTAGTAAAGAAGGCACTAGGCCTTAAGTACAAACGAGGTTGGGAAAGGATGGGATGGGAATCCCAGCAAATCTCCAATTGGTGAGTTGGCAGATTTGCAGGATTACGAGGGAATCCCAACCAGATAGGGTTGGGATTACAAACTACACCCAACCCACAAATAACCTACGCGATTTAGAATATAGTACACAACCCACAAGGAGGTCCAACACCCATGGCCGAGAGGAGGCGGCAATGGTCCTCGTGAACAAGTGACTTGGTAAAGAGGTCAGCAAGGTTGCAGTCGGAGACACATGTTGGATTTCTCGCTGTGCCAGGAGGTTGTGGCGGAGTGTTGGGGCACAGATATCAGTGACTATGCCCGATGGAAAGGCTGGACAAGGAACTGTGGAGGACCCATGGCATTGGATGGAGAAGCTAGAGTTGGCTCCGAGGAGTGGGGTGGGAGCCTAGTAAGGAACGAATGCGGTTTGGTCTTTGAGCACTGTGTGGGTGGCACCACTGTCTAGTATGAACTCGATCCCCTGTGTGTTTGAAACACCGATGTACTGCGACCCCTTCTCATTAATAATACCAGCACCAGAGAACAACAGGTTGAGGCGGACATCAGATGGGGTGTTATCAACTGAGGGACTAGGTTTCTCCACTGCCTCGACCTGGTTCACGCGACGGGGTGGGGCCCAGTTGGGAGAGCGCCTGTTGGTGGAGACACCATGGACGTCATACCACTCGTCATCTCGCTTCTTGAAGCAAGTTGCCTCAGGGTGGTTGGTGCCTCCGCATTTCTGCCCAGCCCGTGGACCCTTCTTAATGATATAGAGGCATGGGGGAAAGGAGTTGCACCTCGGTCCCTGCTGGGAGCCCTGCTGGGAGCGGAATGGAATCTCAGGGGTGTAGCGCACAGCATTGACGATTGCTTGGGATGCAAGGTCCTTCTTGGCGGAAAGAAGGGCTAATGCAACTTTCTCGAAAGTGAGCTCCTTGGTGGGGAGCTGCTTGAGAATGGAACTGGTAACGTTGTAGGCCGGGGTAAGTCCTACGTGGATCCCAGCTGCAGGTGCCTGTTCGGGGAAAGTAATCCCAATCTCTTTGAGTTCCTCATGGATGTTGCGGATTTCAGAGATGTAGTCTGCCATGCCAGGTCACTCCTCAAGGCGGACCTGGAACATTCGAGGATGAGGATGGCAACACCCACTGCTGTCTTGTCATGGAAACGGTCCTGGAGATACTTCCAAATGTCATGCGCGGGGCGAACGGTGCGGTAGGATATGACAAGCTCAACTGGAGTGGTGGTGATAAAAACCCTAATAGCTGCTGCATCCGCCTGCTCCCACACATTGAAATCGGTCTCATACTTCGTGGTCTTAGCTTCAAAAGCGGCCTTATCTGCGGCAGTGGCTCCTTCACCAAGAGGATCGGGAGGGAGAGGCATCTTTCCCTTGCCGCGGTTGAGGAGGATGTCCTTGAGGCAAATCCCCTTCATTTTTGTGCTAAGGAGGTGCTTCTCCACCCCATAGCACCATTCCCCAAAGTTGGTGCTCGTGCCGTTGGGAGCTAGATTGAGAACGATGAGGTTTCCGACGAGGGGGAAAGTTGAAGTTGCCATTCGCGCGGAGCGCAGCGTTTAAGTCGCTGATACGTAGCGGAGCGATTTTGGAAATTGATGAAGTCCGAAACGCGGAAAAACGCGATGTCGGCAAGAAGATTTGCGATTCCTGTTCTGCTGCTCTGCTTCGCCGATGACCCCTTTTCTGCTGCGCCGCTGACCTGTTCTGCTGCGCCGCTGACTTCTCTGCTGCGCCGCTGAACCTGTTCTGCTGCGCCGATGAACCTGCTCTGCTGCGCCGCTGAACCTGCTCTGCTGCGCCGCTGAACCTGCTC